AATAAATATATTATCAATATCATTGTGTACACGTACGCGTGACACGATTCCTCACGTTTAAAATATATAATATATAAAACGAATATACGTACGCGTGATTCGATTCGAAGAAGGGTCTTTGATTATAAATAAAATAAATAGAAGCGGTAATAAAATCATGCAATAAAAATATAAAATCGAGATAATTAAGCCAAGAATAAAAACAGTTAAGCGACCGTGCTAGAATCACGGAATTCGGAAATGCCTAACACCTTCTTCCGGATTAACAGAATTCCTTACTCAGGATTTCTGGTTCGCAGAATAACAAACAGAGTCATATTCTCCTCGATTCAGGGATTAAAACCGGTGACTTGGGACGCCTTAAAATTCCCAGTGGCGACTCTGAAACAAATAAACAAATCCCGTTTCGACTGTCCTTTAATTGGAGAAAACTCCCTACGCGCCTCCCGCGGGCGCGGAAAAAGGAGGTGTGACAGGCCCGACAAGAGATGACCCGGTAGACGGATGGACTAACTGTATTGGTCAAAATCTGACCGTTGTGATCGACCCAACTGGGACCCCGTCCAAACGGCGGGATAAGGAAAGACGCCATGATTTGCTCCAAACCACGTACTCACAGTGCCCGCTAAGTCGAATAACAATACTCAGGGAACGACGAAAACGGTCGTGGTATGAAGGCGCCTTGACCCAAAAATATAGCAAGGACTCTATGACTATATATAGGGAGGGAACCTTCCTAGAAAAGGGGGCTTTTTCTCTCTTTCCTCTCCTCTGTAATCTTTATAGCAAAAGGAAGACAAAACAATCTTCCATTGATTATGTAAAACATTCATCTCCATCAATTGGTGAGAGATGAAATGAAAAAACCTCAATAAGATTGATCGCCCTTATCTCATCTTATGCATCATTTTCTAATTTGCTTATAGATCTGGAGTTTATTATGCTTGACTAAGATTTACCTCCTCATTTTCATTAATTGATTTAATCAAAAAGGTTTCAATATCTTTTGGTCAAACAAAGACAACGTTTCAAATTTTAATAATGTGCCAATTTCATCCTTGCCGGCATACAAATACTCATGCACGCAGTGACATACGTAGAATTTTACAAAAGTGGTGTCATAATTTGAAGAAATGAACAAATGAATAAATCACTATAATGACAAGCGTTGTCACTTTCTACACGTATCCCCAATATTTTTATTTTTTCTTATTCAACCAAGCGACAATATAGGTTTTAACTTCATATTACAGTCAAATACGTCCTGTTATATGTGATGCACCTTTAACTAAAAACCGTCTAAAGCAACACGACACAAAATAAATGAGTATTTTGGGGATTAATTTCGCTGGTGGTCATCCAACTATGTGTCTATTTCACAAAAGTCATTATTCTATTTTTTATCACTTAACAGTCACTCAACTTCATTTTTCTCACTTAAGAGTCATTCTACCTCAAAACATATGAAATATTCTATAAAAAGTCTGACTTGACATTAAATTTATTTTAAAAAAATCTCATAACAATGCCACATCAGCTTAAATGACCATACCTGTTTGGCTTATTTCCCTTCAATCCGATTTAACCTATATCCAAATAATATTAGACCATCAAAAGAAGAAGACAAGAACAATTATTTTATGCTAAAAATGTTCTTTACAAAATAACTTTAATGCCATCAATGCCATAAAAGTCCATAAAATATGAATAGAACTAGTTTTTGCATCCTTCAGATTAATTTATAATTTTTCATGAAGTTAAAGTACTACCGTAATATCAAAATTAATAAGCAACATCAATAAACAAAAAATTGTTCAGTTAGCAACAGCCACAACTAAAGTGCATAAGGGAAGTTGTTAATATACACTGCAATCACAGGCAGCCTATAGCATTAATAGTTTGGACAAAAGAAAGACACGGTATAGCATTTCATTGGTACGATCAAAACTAAAAGAAATTTAGAAAATCTAATTATTAGATTAAAAGACCTAATTCAAAGAGTAACCACATAGTGCATTGTATTAAATGGAGAAACTTGATTTTTTATCTTAACCTATTTGGGTTAGGAAGTTGATTTGAGGGGGAAATGAAACTAAAATGGGTATGGTCATTTAAGCTGACGTGGCACTATTTTGGATTATTCAATTACATTTAATGCCATGTCAATTTTTTATAGAATATTCATAGGTTTTGAGCTATAATGACTTTTAAGTGAAAAAGACGAAGCTGAATGATTTTTAAGTGACAAAAAATAGAATAATGACATTTGTTAAATAAACATATAGTTGGATGACCACCGGTGAAATTAACCCAGTATTTTGGTCTAACTAATCGACTTCCAAGTTAGAAAGTGTTAGTACTTTTTATAATTACCATGTTTCCAATAAAAAGGATAGGTCTATGTAATTATTTCAAACCAGATGGGCTTAAACGAAATTTAAAACAAAAAAAATCAAAACAATACATGGAGTATTAGAATTTGGAAACTAATACAGCAATTCCGTTTGCCAATGCAGATAAAATTGGGAAAAACACTTCATTCTCCTGTTCGAATTAGGAATAAAAGAAAGCTAAATCCTCTACCTATAAATACATTACTCAATGTTCTTTTCGTTATTCAATTGTCACCAGTTAATTCAGTTCATCGATTTGCTCCTTTTTACAACAAATTTCGCAAAGCCTACACATAAAAAAATAATGGCGTACGAGTACCTAATGAAGTTCATAATAGTGGGCGAAACGGGAGTAGGAAAAACCTGCATTATGAACCAGTTCACAGAGAAGCGGTTCGATCCGGTTTACGACGTCACAATCGGAGCCGGATACGGGTCCAGAATAATCACCGTCCACAAGAAGCAAATCAAGCTTCAAATATGGGATACGGCGGGACAGGAGAAGTTCCGGTCAATTACGAGGGCGTATTACAGAGACGCCGCGGGAGCTTTGCTTGTTTACGATGTGACTAAAAGGCACACTTTCGAGCGGCTGTCGAGTTGGCTGGAAGATATATGGTAACAAGGCGATACGACAGTAATGGTGGTGGGGAACAAATGCGACGCCGGAGAAGATATTAGGGCTGTTAGTGCAGAGGAAGGCGAGGAATTCGCTAAGAGTAATAGATGTTTGTTCATTGAAGCTTCTGCTAAAACGGCATTGAATGTGGCGGCAGCATTTGATAAGACGACGAAGAGAATACGTGAGAAGATGGGATACGGGGATGTTAAGGAGGTGGATGAAGCTCTGGGAATTAATATTTGGAATTGGAAAGGATTTAGGATTGGAAGGACGAGGAATGATGAGAATATTGATGGAGCTGCTGCTTCTAAAAGATTCAACTCATGTTCTTGTGGTTGACGCTTTCTTATGTTTTTATTTCCCCCCTCCCTCCACCCCTTTTTTTTTTTTTATTATTTTTTACAGAGGATAAATATTCAATATTCACTCATAATCACTTTATTTTCTGTATTGCTATACACATAACAAAAATATAGTACTTTGTTATATTCAAGATATTCACGTACATTATTTATTAATATTTTGAATTTATAAAATAATGTAAGTGAATTATATTTTCCTTGGTACCAAACACCCCCAAAAATATCATAGCTTTTCCATTTTTCTGTTTTCCTTCCATATATTTGCAATTATGTTTCCTAGTTCTAATTTTTAATATGTTTTTAAATTCTTAAATTACATTAAATTTATCAATAATCCTTCAGATACAAGTTAACTTTTTTTTATACGTTTGACTACTGACATTGATTCTTAATTAGAGCTTCCACATCAGTTGGATAAGCTTTCTAATAAGATTTATGATAGTTCGGGAATACTCTAATCATTTTCTTAAGGACTGCGTTGACTTTTCTTATAATAGTTTTGGAATGCTTTAATCATTTTCGTAAAGATTAATTTTGTTGGATGTTCGACCTCTTCTTGGATCCGTCTCACCTCCTGTACACGTTCCGTCAAGTTCTTCCGATGTAGTTTTAATTTGATGACACGTGTTCCTTCTTAAATCTAATAGTCATATTTATTTAACTAAAACAATCTCTCAAACCAAGGTTAACTCCCTCTAATTATCTCACTTATCCTTTCCATATATGCAGCATATTTTTAGGCGAAGATACTTCATAGGTGCAGGTCACTTTTTCAATCACAGCACACACATATTAGAAGTTCGACACAACTAAGAGGGTGTTTGATTACGCTTATAACACTTTTCAGCTTATTTATGTATTTGGTAAAGTAGCTTATAAGCCAAGTGCTTATAAATCAAAAATAAGTCAAAAATCATAAGCTAGTCACCCCCAGCTTATGAATATTTAGCTTATAAACACTTTAAGTTTGACCAAAATTTTTACTATTTTATTCATAAAATATTCCTTTTTTAGAACAAAACTCCTACATCAATACTCACTGACTCACGTATTTTTTCAACCTAAACCCTCGCCTCTTCAAGTCTGAAATTCTCATTGACTTTAAGGTAAACAAATTCTCTATTCCTTTGCATATTTGAACTGCATGTAATAAACAGGGACATATCAAATTTTTGGTGCATTATTTTTTAAGTGTTGTGGTGATGAAGACCGTGTTTGTTTCTCTTCAAATATTTTGTCCTATTTAGTTTTTTTTACTAAGAAGCTTTTGTCAATTTATTAATTATTATAACTTATAATTATATGCTTATTATAAAATAAATTATATTTATCAAAAAAATTATCTTATCTAATCACAATTGTGTTTAAAATAAAATGACAAATAGAATATTTTATATTTGAATCGATCTGGAATCTATGAAGAAAGTACGCCAAGTGTAAATAGTTCTAAGGTTATTTAAGTCATTTTAACAGAAAAAGAGTTTATCGACACTTTTTTATCAAATATTGCAGCAGCTTATTATCAATTTCAGCATTTGTATCCAAACACGTAACTACTTATTTATTAAATCAGTTTCAGCACTTGAAAATTCTTTTCAACACCTAATACTTATCGGCTACATTAAATCAGCTAATCCAAGCGGGCTCTAAAACTTTTTTATTAACTAATTCATGAAACAGTTTATACGAAATATTGTTTCCCCTACAAGAACGATTTTCTTAGCAGTATTTTCGGATGTTTTGCCAAATTGGTACTGATCGAGGGAACCATTTTTTAGTTAACCATGGTTTGAGAGGCTGTTTTACTTAAATAAACTAGCCTTAGGGTACATGCTTTGCGCGTGTACTCTAACTCAATGAATAAATTTTTAAAAAGAATTACATAAATGTTATTTAAAAAATATATTTTAGATATAAATAAAGGTTAAGCTCTAAAAATTGCAAAATATTCATCCTATATTGCAAACTCAATAAAAAAAGAAACTATGTCTCATAGAGTCATCAATCATCATCCAATTATATCCGGTACTTAAATTTTGTTCCAATTTTATAATTATATCAGCTTAATTCACAAGTTATTATACTTTCTTGTTATTTTCAGGAAGAACAACACTCTTGAAGATGTAAGAGCTTTTCTAAAAATATTTTTATCAAATTTTTCATAGAAGACAAAAATAGAATTAGCTATACTTATATTATGATTTTAATTTTTTTTTTAAATAACACAAACGGAAGAACAGAATCTTATGTCTTTTAAATTTATTTTTCGTAAAAGGTTACAATATTACCCTTGCAGTGAGGTTTTAGTTACTAAAATAAAAAAAGAATAATGATTAATGATTACTCAATTTGAATAAATTTTATTTTCTATTATTTCATTATCATTTGTTCAAATTTGCATATTAACCAAGTTAACTCTTAATACTATACTACAACTGATTTTGCTCTATTTCTCTAATTTCTTTCATCACCAGTAATCTTTTTGAGGAAACAAATTTATGGTCCCTAAGATTTGAGCCAGCGTGAAAAATAATTTTAGGTTTATAATTTGGAAAGAATAGATTGGATTCTTTTGCTAATTAAATAACTTTAATACTTAAATATTTATTCTTAATATTAAGAAATAATTTATTTTTGTTGATTCAAATTCTTAATATTAGCTTATTGAATTTTAAATATTTTTTTGTAATTAAATGTTTTTAATAAGATTATTTTATTTTAAAATGATCAAAGAATTGCATTTTTGCACTTTGTATTTACTGAAACATTAGTGTTATTGACTTTTGCCAATCATTTTTTTCTCTCTCTTTCTTTTTTTGTATTAACAAAGATATTTCATATTTATTTATTCTAATTGTTAAGCGTATTTTTTAAATACATAGCTATATTTAAATATAATTACAATTATATATATATATATATATATATATATTATAATTTATAATTATACCAAGGAAAAGAATACGGAAAAAAAGTTTGGTAAACTTTTATTAGTTATTTTGCTCATGTTATCGGCATGGGTAACGTTGCACTCTGAATAAAATATATAGTACGTTGTCATTATTTGATTAATATAATTATTTCTCCAATTTCTTATTTATGGAATCGTTTGGTTCAACCCTATATTTTAGTAGAAGTAAATTGAAGATGAAAGGAAACTTCATTAAACGTAATATGTTGATGAGTTTTAAATTCCTAGATATTAGGATTTTAACTTAATTCAAATAAGGAAAAGTTTAATAGCTAAAATTTCGATTTATTTCAAAATCTTAAATATTAAGTGAATAATTAAATGACAATTTTGTCTAATGTGAAATCTATTTTTAAAGGGTAAAAAAGACGAACGACATATCGCTAAGGACCTTCGTGCTTTTAATATAGTATAGAAAATAAATATTGACCATAAAATTTAAAAAGGGACAACTATTATAAAATTAAAGCTATACCGGAAGAACTTGAGGGATTGTGTACAGGAGGTGAGCCTCATCCCTCTTTGTTATGGTCGTAGTAGAGGTACTACGTTTAAAATAACAAAATATCTTCAGAATTGTTTATTGTATTGGTCAAAATCTGACCTCTACGGTAGGTCCATCCAGGATCCCGTCCAAGCGGCGAGACAGTGGAGGACGACATGGTTTGCTTCAAACCCCGCGCTCACAAAACCTGACAAGTCAAAAACAACACTCAGGGAACGACGAAGGCGGACGTGGTATAAAAGTGTGTTGACCCGAGAACACAATAAGGATCCCATAACTATATATAGGGAGGGAACCTTCCTAGAAAGGGGGACTTCTTCTCTTCTCTTTCCACTCCTCTTTAATCTTCTTAGCAAAAAGAAGACAAAGCAATCTCCCATGGAATATGTAAAATAGTTATCTCCACCGATTAATGAGAGGAAAAATGAAAAACATCAATAAGATTGATCGCCCCTATTTCGTCTTATGCATTATTTTCTGATTTGCTAATAGATCTGGAGTTTATTACGTTTGACTAAGTTTTACCTCTTCATCTTCTTTAATTGATTTAATCAAAAAGGTTTCAATATCTTTTGGGTCAAACAATTTAGCGCCGTCTGTGGGGATTTCTTAGTAAAAACTTCCTAGCCTCCTCCAGATCAAAAATCGGAAACGCGATCACCCACCGAAACGAATGGTAAGTAAACCTCACATGCCAACCCAGATCATGATGCTATACACAAGCAGAAGTTGCAACCAACACCCTCCCTCGCATGTCGAGCAGCCCACGAGCCAGCCAAAACGAGTCTAGCCCGCACAAGACGAAGGCACAAAAAAAAGGGGAAGGGAAAGAGCGCTGAATACGGCTACCGAGTTCAGAAAACATCACTCCATCAACCATTGAAATTCCAAGAAAAGCGAGCAACGCCACAGATCCACCTTCTGTTGTTTGCTCAAACAAAACCGCAAGCATTGCGCGGGCAAGCGAGCAGGGAAACATCCCATCTAAAGAATGGGGAATTGCTACAAAACGACCAAAATATCGTCCGCCAGACAAACCCAACTCCTAGGAAATGGTACCCCTTGAGTGATACCCCATCTCCCTCGCCAAGAAGGTGTCCTGAGAAAGCCCTCCCGGGGACTTAAAGACCTGGCCGACGAGGGAGAACTCCCCAAGATCAAAAGATCGATGAGGGGAAACTCCAATAGGTGCGCGAAATGAGTGTGCGCAAAGCAGCATCGTTTTCTCCTCTCCAACATCACATTCCCCGATGCAATTAAAACAGGTGAACTGGGACTCCCCCATAAGATACCCAACTCTCCGAAAAACCAGGACTAACAATGGGTTATTATTTCGACGAAAGTTCGAAATAACACTCTTAAGGCCAAGGGCCTTCGCCTAAAAGAAAAGTTCGACCTCGATAGAATAACGACGAGTTACTATTTCGACGAAAGTTCGAAATAACATCCTTAAGGCCAAGGGCCTTCGCTAAAAAGAAGAGTTCGATCTCGATCGAATAAC